TTCTATCCTGATTCTTCCTTTGGCCCAGAGGCCTGGTCCTCCTACTTCCCAACCCCCAACCCCCAGGATCCAACCCTCTGGAGTCAGACACTCCCCCTACCCAGGACCCAGGGGGGTCCCAGGAAGCCAGCTTTCCTTTTGAAGAACAAAGAGGGAGGAGCTGAGCCTTGGAACCCAGGCCTGGGCGGTATCCCAGCAGGGAGGGGAAGCTCAGACAACTGGGCCAGCTGTGCTGTCTCAGTCCCTCCCTGCCCCCTGCCTCTCTATGGACCCAGCACGTGTGGACACGAGCTCCTCTCTCCCAAGCCCAGTGGCCCAGTGTCAGGAAGAGGCTGGAGACCCAGATATTCATACACACGCCACGTGCACACACACAAACAGACATACATAGAGGCCCACACTGACATAGAGGCATGCCGGACCCACAGAGACCCTATCCAACACCCCCATAAATGCTGGGAATGGGGGTAGGAATGTCCTCAGAGCCACATCTGCACAGGAACAGTGGCTGGAGAAAAATCACTGGGCCCCAACAACTCCTCTCAGGTTTGGGGGGCCTGAAGTGAGTGTGTGTGTGTGTGTGTGTGTGTGTGTGTGTGTGTGTGTGTGTGTTTGGAGCGAGAAGGGCTTTTTTTAAAAATATATATTTTATTGATTTTTTACAGAGAGGAAAGGAGAGGGATAGAGAGTTAGAAACATCGATGAGAGAGAAACATCTATCAGCCGCCTCCTGCACACCCGGGGATGTGCCTGCAACCAAGGTACAGGCCCTTGACTGGAATCGAACCCAGGACCCTTCAGTCCACAGGCCGATGCTCCATCCACTGAGCCTAATTGGTCAGAGTGAGAAGGGCTTTTTAGAAAAATATACAAAATTAGGTACAGAAAGTATTTAATATATTTTATTGATTTTTTTACAGAGAGGAGGGGAGAGGGATAGAGAGTTAGAAACATCGATGAGAGAGAAACATAGATCAGCTGCCTCCTGCACATCCCCTACTGGGGATGTGCCGGCAACCAAGGTTCATGCCCTTGACCGGAATCGAACCTAGGACCCTGGAGTGCGCAGTCCGACGCTCTATTCACTGAGCCAAACCGGTGGGCAATACAGAAAGTATTTAGCGTGAAACAAGAGATCACAACTCTATCCTGAATCTTGTTTCTCCTCTATTATCATATGTGCCCTCTGACTTTGCACCTTCACAGCACAAAGCCTGGTGAATGGGCACAGGCGATAGTATTTCTGGAAGCCATTCCTACACCAGGACAGCTAGGCTTACTTACCTGGATGTGGAATGACTGGGAACCATAGTAACACATCCCACAAAAATGTAAATCTTGGGTCTTTCCAACTCACCTTCTCCATACCTGGATCCCCCCAAATGCCCACAGCTGTTCCAGCACAGCGGGGGGGCAGAGGGAATGTGACCGAGGGAAAGCAGAGTGGGAGGTGACAGTGGTCTTTACCTTTTACAGTTAAAAATATCTTCAATTTGCAGACATGACAGAAGCATATGGCCATGTGAAGACGTTGCTAGGCCCTCCCAGAGGCCTGTGTAAGTGAGGGGTCCTAAAGCCTAAACTGCTTTAGCTTCACGGTGAATTGGCCTCTGCAACTCCAATGTGTGATCCCAAATCTCGGATGGACGCTCCACCTGCCTAGAAATCCTAGTCTCATCGCCGAGGCCTTAGAAGCTTTGCTTTCCTACGCTCCAAAATGAACACTGCACCCCTTTCTCTTCAAACAACCTGTAGCTGTCTCCCCTCCAGAGGTGAGCTTGGTTCGTTCTTCTTTGAGAAAATGAGCGAACCGGCGATAACTTGCCTCATCCTCCCCCACCCCGAGGGACCCGGCCCTCTGCCTCCCCTACTAGCTGAGGCCGACTTCTCCGCCTGCCACTGGAGTCTACCTACCTCGCCTCCCCCTCCCCCCACCACCCAGGACTTGGTTATTCCCACCCTCCCCAAACCCTTTCTAGCAAACCTCATCTACCTGCCACACATTGGTATGCTCACCATTCACAGCAAAACTTGTCAACGTCTGCTGTCCCTCTGCCTTCACGTCCCCCTTCTTACCTCACCCCACTCATCGGGACGCGTGGCCACTCTCACTCCGGCCACCTGTGCTAAACCAGGTGCTCACTTCTCTCTCTTCTGACTTGACTTCCCAATAGCTTAGCTAGAGCTGACTGCTCCCTCCTTCTTCATACCCTCCCTTTTCTTGGTTTCCTAGACTCCCCACTCCCCTGGCTTTTCTGCTGTCTCTCTGATCACCTTTGACAATTCTCCCTCCTCAACTTGACCTCAAGTGTTAGGATGCCTCAGGGCTCCTTGCTAAGCCTTTTCTCTCTCCACATTCTCTCCCTAGGTATTCCCGGTCTCATAGCCTTAAAAACCATCCAATGACTCCCCTGTATTTACCCTCCAGCTCTGACCCCCAAACTTGTATATCCCTGGCCTACCTGTATTCTCCACTTGAATGTCTAAGGGGATCTCAACTAACCTGAGAGTAAATTAAAATGGTTATTTTCTCTTCCCAAACCTTTTCCGCGCCCCCCCCCCCCCCCCCCCGCCCCTTCCCATCTCAATAAAAGGCACCACCAACCTCCTGGTATTTCAGCCAAAAACCTAGGCGTTCACTTTCCCTCTCCACTGCCACCACCTCAGGGCAAGCCACAATCATATCTTGCTTAGATTTCTGCTCTGGCAACCAGATGATATCTCTGCTTCCGTCTTCCACACAGCAGACAAAGTGATCTTTTAATACAAAAGTCAGTGAATATAACTTTCCTATTAAAATTCTCCACCAGTTTCCCATTGCACTTAGACTAAAATCCATTCCTTCCATTTTTGCAGCTCAACATTCTCCCTCCTGGGGACAATGACCCTCTTTCTCTAGCTCCCACCAGCAAGCCCCTTTCCTGCCCCAGAGCCTTTGCACTTGCTGGGTTTCTTTTTTTTTTTTTTTTTTTTTTTTTTTTTGCTGTTGTTGTTTGTTTGTTTTTGTGTGGGTTTTTTTTTTTTGTGTGTGTGTGTGTTGTTGTTGTTTTTTTGCCTGGTCTCATGGCTGGCTAAAATGTCACCTCCTGATAGAGGCTGCCTCTGAACGCCCAGACTGAAAGTAGCACTTCCCTCACTCTCAAGTCATTGCCATATCCGGTGTTCCTCGCCCGCCGCAGCCTCATGGCATCTGAATTTATATTATTTTCTGCTTTCTTAGTTATTTTCTGTCTCCCCTGCCCACTGTAAGTTTCAGGGGAGACCAGATCCGATGTTCCCTCAAAGTCTAACCACAGCACCACAGGAGGCACTCCATAAACACCGGCTGTGCGCACAGACACACAGATGCTCAGACTGTTGTACAATTTCCTTCTGGGGGCCACTGTCCCACCTTAGAATCGAGAAGAGAGCGTTGCCATTCACTGACACAGTCCAGAGACGAGAAGGACCCAGACCGGGCCCAGATGAAAAAGACAACGGAGAGGGACAGGAGACAGACACCAGCGGCAGGGACCCGGGCCCAGGCCGAGCTCCAGAGAGTGACCGAGGCAGACAAGGCCGAGACGCAGCCTCCGCACAGCCTAGGCAGCTGCCGGAGCCAGATCCAGGAGGAGGGGCGCGGAGCGGGGCCAAGCCCGCCGGAAGACCTGAAACCCGCGCGGCCAGCGGGGGGACCCAGCCGCCCCGCCCCCGCTTAAGAGTGGCCGCGGCAGCTGGCGGGGGCGCCGGGCCTCCCGCTGGCGCGACGCGTGCGGGATCAAAGCCCCCGGGAAGGGGCGGGCGGGGAGGTGGCAGGATCCCGGAGGTGTGAGCGAGCTTCCCAGGGGATGTCAGGAGCGTGGGAGCGCGGAGTGCGGGCAGGGGACAGAGACCCGAGGGAAGCCGAGCGATCCCAGAGACACCCAGCCACCGAGACGCACACGCAGAGAGAGACGGAGAAGCTGGAGAGATCCCGGGTAAAAACGCAGAGACAACTAAAGACCCTGAGAGGTGAGCGCAAAAGTTGCTCAGAGACCTGGAAAGAACGTGAAATATACAGAGACACAGACGCCAAGAGGTACGCAGCACAGAAAGACTGCAAGACACCGAAGGCCGAGACCCTTGGACTTGGAAAAAGAAAGGGCGCTTCAGAGAGAGCAGGAGGTAGGACAGAGAGAGCGAGCGAGGCGGAGAGATGGAAAGAAGAGCAAGGGGATTAGATAGAGCGCACGGGGCGGGAAGACCTCGCCCCTCCCCCGCGGAGGCCCAGAGGACCCCGGGGCAGGGATCCGAGGGCGGTGCCCTTTCTCAGGGTCACGCCTGCGGAGGTGCGGGGGCTGGGGGCGAAGGGAGTGGTGGGCAAGGCAGCAGGACCCCCTGGTTGGGAGGATGGACGTGTGAGGAGGTATGGAATCAAGATCTCCACCAGAGCCTCAAACCCTTCAGTAGAGTAAAAAGTAATATATTAATATGTGGTGAAAATATTAATGAAAGGTGCTTCTCAGAGAAATATCAAACTTCTTTCAGTTTTTGTTGTGAAAAAGAAAAAAAAAAGGCAGTGTTGCATTGGCCGGGAATCGAACCCGGGCCTCCCGCGTGGCAGGCGAGAATTCTACCACTGAACCACCAATGCGCGCTCTAGCCAGGTTTCACCAGAGCTTATAAGAGGTCAGCGTAGCGGTGATCAGGCGGGTTGTGTCAGCGAGGGAACTAGCGAAAGAGTGGGTCTGAATAGTTCAGGTGGGTGGAGCAACCCAGCCATCCTTCCTCTCTCCCGGATACGGCCACTGGGCCATAAAGTCGCCCCATATGGCCAGGGGCGGCCCCACACCCGGGTGCGAACAGCCCGGGGCCCCCAAACCTCGCGTGCAGGTGAGAAAAACTCAGCCTGAGCCCAGGTTCCCAAGGAGGGGGGCGGCGGGGGCTACTGGGGCCACACATCTGCGTTCCCATTTGGCCCAGGTACGGGGAGGTGGGATTGCTGGGGGCCCTGAACCCAAATGGGAGCGCTCTCCCCAAGGTCTGCGTCCCTTCGGGCTCGGGCTTTGGCAGGGTAGGCTCCGTGAAGAATATCAAGTTGTGGAGGGGCACGGGGAGGGCCAGGCGGAGTCCCATCCGCTCCCTACTCCGCGTCTATCTTCCGACTTGGTCTCCAACCTTGTCTTGACGCCTCCTTGTCGCTAGCACTCTTGCTGTCCTGTTAAATCTCTGATTTTACCTCATCGATCGTTTCCCCCTGAAGTCGCACCATTCTGCAGAGGGTCATGGTCTTGGTTTGGGGTGGGTGTAGGTCCCTTTTTTGTATCCCTTTCTTGTCCCTTTAAGAAAACTTCCTGCTCCCTGCTCCCCTATAGTTACCTGGGAGCGAGCACACTCGTGTCAGGTGTCCTGGCAGCCACACGCCCGAATCTCCCACCTTTTTAAAATCAAATACTTGTAAATGGAAAGATCTCTCCACCTCCTGCCCGTGCTTTGCTTCCTCTTCCTTGAGGTTCCCCTCTCCCCAGTCCAGACACCCCTCAGGACGGTCTTCTTCCCGGTTACCTACTTTGATTCTGTAACAGCTACTTGATAACACGCGTGGTTCCCCCACTAGATCCTGCTGGGATGAGCTGGACCTCGAGCGCATACCTCAGCGCAAACGGCCCAGGCCTAGACCAGTGCGCCCGAGCGCGGGCTCCCGCCGCCCCTCCGGACTCGGGTGCGGCCCCAGCCCCCCTCACCCCCAGCCCCGTTGGGGAATTAAATACGACCGCCTTCGATCTCACAGCGCGTCTCTTCCCCCTCCAGGCAGAAACCAGCTGAATTAGATAGATCCGCCTCCCACCCGTTAGGTCTCTTCTTATTTTAAGCAGGATAATTGGGGTGAAGATGTGTAAGATCCAGCCTAGGGGCCGAGGGTGCTCACTTCTTTTTTACTGTCAGCGGGGGTACGGTGACCGCCCAAACAAGCTGCGATTCTGGTGGCAAATTCTGACCCCAAATCACCTGAACTCTCTCCCCCCCTAATAACCTCCTCCCTTCAGCTGGGCCCGCCTCATTATACAGCCTTATGGTCCTTAAAACAGCTGGTGCTCCGCTGACCCCTCATTTCCCACACTCCAGGCCCGTTCCACGCCTCCCCCTCCCCCTAGCGCTCCTCCCCTTTCCGGGAGCCTCGTGCCTGGGGCCCAGCCGGAGGGATCCGGGTGCCTAAGAGGGCGGGTCCTGGTCCCCCCCCCCCCCCGCCCCCGGGAGCCTGAGGGATATAAGGCGCAACGGGAGCAGGGGCTCGTCCACACCAGGGTCCGGAGGAGCGATGGTCACCCGGGATCGAGCCGAGAATAGGGACGGCCCCAAGGTGAGCGGCGGGAGAAGAGGGAGCCGAGATCCCTGGTCCGGGCAGGGGACCGTGTCTCTGAGAGCTGGGCTGCAGGAGGGCGATATGCACGGGAGACCCGCGGAGCCAGGAGCTGGGGAGCAAGCTGCAAAGCCTGAAGGAGGGGGACAGGGTCAGGCAGGACCTGCGTGGGCGGCAGAAGCACCAGGCTGGGGGTTTGGGTCACGGGAGTTGGCGGCTTGCGGTCGCGGGGACGCGGGCGGGGGCTGGTGTTGGCGTGAAACCACCGAGAGGAGCACAGGGCTCGGGGAGGAGGGAGGAGGGAGGAGGGCGGAGGGCGGGAATCAAAGGCGAGACGCGCACTTGCTCCGCGCGGGCTGGCCGGGTGGGAACGGGCTCCAGAGGCCCGAGGCGGGGTGGAGGATTTTAGAACCAGTTACGAAGGGTGACCGCTCAGACGGGTTAGAGGGAGAAGAGGAGGTGCGGTCGCGCTGGGTATCTCCCTTTCTACACTCAGGGCCGCCAACTCTGAGTCCGGCACCTTGTGGCCCACGTGTCTGGGCGCAAAGAGGGCCCTCAAAGTTCTCCACTGAGACAGAGAGACACTGCACGATGCGGAGAAGTAGAGAGAAAAGAGGAGGAGAGACACAGAGAGGGGAGGAGGGAGGACAAGACTGAGAGAGGAGAATGCAGAAGACCCGGGAGAGAGAGGAGGCGAGCTTCAGAAATTGACCCCTAGGGGCGCTGGGAGGGGGAGCGGAGAGGGGTCGAGCGGGTCGGGCCCTAGGCTCTCAGGAGTCTTGGGGAAGGGGGTGGAGGCCGGACTGTCCCAGCGGCGGGGTCCCCACGCCCGCGCGGCCGCGCTGAGTCTTGGTCCCGTCGGCCCGCTCTCCCTTTCCTGCTGGTCCCAGATGCTGAAGCCGCTGGTGGAGAAGCGGCGCCGAGATCGCATCAACCGCAGCCTAGAGGAGCTGAGGCTGCTCCTGCTGGAGCGGACCCGGGACCAGGTCAGTCCTTCCGGACCCCCAAGCACCCCGTCCTCGCGTCCCAGGGCTTCCCACTTGGGTGGGGACAAATGCTGGCTGCATTGGCGACCCTGGCCCAGAGGCACCCTCGCCTGAGTCCCGCCCTGGGAATCCCATCCCAGACCCCTTCTTGCTCTCAGAACGCGATCTTCGTGGCCGCCTCTCGGGCCTGTAAGTTTCACACCTTGCTCTGTACATTTCCCTCCAGGGTGGGTCTGTTTCAACCTCCGGGCCTGCAAATTCTTCCTCCTCCTGCCCTCTCCGCCCCCAACAGCCAGCAGGGTGGTTCATTTCACCCACTGGGTTTGCTACTTTAAATGCCCTCCTCCCAACGCGGGGTGGGTTTCCTCCCCTCGGGTCGGACAGTTTCCTCGCAGGGTGGGTGAGGACCATTCTCGGTCATCTCCACCCCGCATTCGGGAGCGCGCTCTGCGGTCAGCGCGCACACGCGATCCGGGGGCACCCCCAGCCCCTGCACCCCTCCCTCCTTTCTTCCCCCTGCCACTTTCCCCCTCTCTCCCCACCCCTCTGTCTTTGCGCCCTCCCCTCCTGTCTGTAGAACCTCCGGAACCCGAAGCTGGAGAAAGCAGAGATACTGGAGTTCGCCGTGGGCTACTTGAGGGAGCGAAGCCGGGTGGAGCCCCCGGGTACAGCGCGGGGGTGGGGCAGCGGAGGGGAGGGGGGATCACCGAGGCCCGGGCCGGGGTAGATGGGGCGGACTCTGCCGTGGACGGTGGGCTTGGGGAGTGGCAGGTTCTGCTCTGAGGCGAGGTTAATAACACCCGCGCGTGTCTGTCTCTGTGTCTCCCTCATTTTCTCTCTGTCCGTCCATTTGGTTTCCTGTCTCTGTGCGCCTGTCCGGCCTTGGTACTTCTGCGCCCCGCCCCTTCCCTTACCCCTGCCGGGCCCCTGCCCTGACCGCCCGTCCTCCCGTCGGCCGCACCCGCCCCGCGGCTCCAGGGGTCCCCCGGTTCCCAGCCCAGGACGCCGAGGCGCTCGCCAGCTGCTACTTGTCGGGTTTCCGGGAGTGCCTGCTTCGCCTGGCGGCTTTCGCGCACGACGCCAGCCCGGCCGCCCGTGCCCAGCTCTTCTCCGCGCTGCATGTCTACCTGCGCCCCAAGCCGCCCCGGCCGGAACCCATCGATCCGAGGCCCCAAGCATCGCGCCCACCGCTGGACCCCGCCGCCCCGGCGCCTGGCCCCGCGCTGCACCAGCGCCCCCCAGTGCACCAGGGCTCCCCTAGCCCTGGTTGCGCCTGGTCCCCGTCCCCTTGCTCCCCCCACGCCGGGGATTCCGGCGAGCCGGCACCCCTCACCGGACTGCAGCCGCCGCCTCCGCCTCCTTACAGACAAGACGGGGCGCCCAAGGCCCCGCCGCTCCCGCCGCCCGCTTTCTGGAGACCTTGGCCCTAAGCTGTGGGGGGTGGGGGCGGGGCTGGGGGTAGGGTAGAGACTCCAGCCTAAGGGCAGCAGAGGGATCCGGGAGTCGGGGCGAGGAGGTGTTGGGGAGGGCAGCGGGGCGCGCGGGCGCAGCGCGCGGGTGAGATGTGGTCTATATTAGAGTATCTATATAAATATATATTTTCCTGGTTCCTGTCCCTTTCCCCTGCCCCCCGCTTGCGTCTAGGATTGTACCCTCTCTGTCCCAGCCCAGCCCCAACCCCTTCTCGAGTCCTTAGTGCATGGAATAAAGTGGTTATTAAATCCCCGTGTGTCCCAAAGCCAGGGGCCTGCCTTTATCTCGGCGTCCACGCCTACTTTCCCTCCCCTTCTGTCTCCCGTCCCCCCAGTCCTGCTCTCCGAGGCCCAAGTCCCAGGGCAGACAGGTAAGTAAAGAAGAGTGCAGAGCAGAGACTGAGGCTGGAACTGAAAACAGACGGAAAACAGAGTTAGGATAGGGGGAGAGGGACGGGACCTTTAGGAAAAAAAAAAAGGAAAGAAAATAAAAGTTGGAATAAAACCGACTCTGGTGGGATTCGAACCCACAACCTTTGAATCGCTCTTTCGTCACTAGAAGTCCAATGCGCTATCCATTGCGCCACAGAGCCCGCTATCCAGCGGTGGCGTCTGACGGCATACGGGAGCTGGATGGGGGAGGGGGAGAGGGAGGGGCGTACCAAGAGCTCGCGGTTAGGACCTGAGGCCTACCAGGGAGAGGTAGCGGGCGCAAAGTAGGTGAGCCAGGTGGGAGTGCGGGAGCACATGGGTGGAGGAAATAGGGAGAGAGAGCAACATGAGTGAGGGGACGAGCACAGAGCTCCAGCTGCCTGCTTGGAGGATGATGCTTCCAGCCCAGGCGCACCCCACTCCCAGATGTGGCCCCACTCATCAAAATAAACTTATTTCGTTGTAAATTTCTGTGTGTCTTTGTTTCCTTGGGCCTATCTGCTTTGCTATCCGCTGCTCTGCAGTTCTAAATCTAGATGGTTTCCAAAGAAGCCCAGCCAATTTAATACAACCATTTCTAGCTTACTTTTCTATAGTCTCTTAGGAGGAGTGTGGAGGAACCCTTACTTCACGCAGGTAGCGTGGCCGAGCGGTCTAAGGCGCTGGATTTAGGCTCCAGTCTCTCCGGAGGCGTGGGTTCGAATCCCACCGCTGCCAACCTAGAGTTTTTTTTCCCCCCCTCGTGGTTCATGAATCCTGTAACAATTCATGCAGGACCTTGTGGGATCTTCCTCAATTTTATAAGGACTCCTGATAGAGGTCTCACCACTGTTATCCCTCTTTGGTATTCAAGACATATCCTATCTAGATCTGCATCCCAGCCCCAAAACAAGACCTGATGGACACTGCCGAAGTAACCTTTTCTTAGTAACTGATCTCCCCATTAACATGTTCTCAAATAACATTCTTATCTCTCAAAATTAGCGCAACACGTGTTCATATACATATTCAAGTGATTGTGTTTTCCTCAGAGTGTGCTAGGGGCTTCAATTGCCTAGTGTGAAAGCTCAAAGAACAGAATTGTAGTTTTTCTTTTTAAATACTCTTCATAAAAGAACCTCATACATAAAACCAATATATAATGGAAAATATTGATAATTGTGAAAAACAAAACTTAAGGTTCCACCGAGATTTGAACTCGGATCGCTGGATTCAGAGTCCAGAGTGCTAACCATTACACCATGGAACCAACTGGTACGGTCCTCTTCTGAATATTTATATAATTGTAAACGCTGTTCTTATTGCCCTGCACTCTACTATTTACAGAAGACAAAACAACACAAAAACAATTGTTGGATAAGGTTGATGCCGTTATCAAGCATCTAAAATATGAATTGAAATGTACTGTAAATGTAAAATGGAAACCGTACATAGAAGACTTAGTACAGAAAAAGTTATAATTTCATTAACATTAAAATATTGATTATATGTTAAAATGCTCAGATTTTGGATACGTGGGGTTAAATAAAATATGTTATTAAAATTAATTTCAACTGTTGCTTTTTACTCTTTTAAAGAAAATGACAGATTTTATTTCTTAGAGCAGTTTTAGGTTTACAGAAAAATTGAACAGAAAGTACAGAGATCTCCCATGTACTCCTGTTACCCCCTAGTTTCTTTTTCTATTATTATTATTCCATTTTTAGTTTTATTGAAGTATAATTGATATACAAAAACTGCACACACTTAATGTATACACATCTTGATTAAACTTTTTATTCTTTTTAATGTGGCTACTAGAAAATTTAAGTTAGCATATATGACTCGTATATGTACTACTCTAAAGCATCTCTACTTTCCTTCCCATTATTCGTTCTATCTTCTGAAAACTAAAAACTTGGCGTTTTACCACTTCCTTTTAAATACTACTTCCTTTTAAAACTAATTAGGAGGATTTTTGTTATTCCTTTGTTTTGTTTGAAGGCATACAAATATTAATTGTACTTAGAAATGACTGTTTAGGTAGAAAAAAGTTGAACGCCCGAACAGGGACTTGAACCCTGGACCCTCAGATTAAAAGTCTGATGCTCTACCGACTGAGCTATCCGGGCTCTCGGGCTTTTCCTGCTCTGGCATCTTTAAGAGTATTAGACCTGTAAAATTTCACGCTCGCAAAAGCGACGGGGAATTGTATGCAAGTGCTCGGAGGATGCCGGCACAGACCCTAAGGAAGCTGGAGCACCGGGCAACTGCTGATCGCGCTTCTTACCGGCTTCCCTCGAGTAGTTTCCGCCGTTCGGTTAGCTAGGGCTGGAGGCCCGGGGGCTGGGATAGCGCGGTGCCGGGACTTGCCGCGCGGGGCCGCTGCCGGCTGCGGGCTTTCCTCGCCGGGAGGTTTCTCCAGGGTGTGAATGACCTAAATCTTAGGCACTCGGGCACCCCCGCTCCCGCCCACCGGCCCGAAGGTCGAGGGCGGGCCCGAATGCCACATGGGACCTTCAGATACTGTGCGCCGGGAGTCCACTTCGATACCCTGACGAGCTCCATTCCAAGGGAGAGATTGAGATCTGGCATGCCAAAGACAGGGGTCACGGAGGGCCGGGCGTGGGAGGGCGGTGCGGAGTGTGGGGTGACAGGAGAGCTGTTTCTGACCCTCACGCGAGGTGCAGGAATGCGCGTGAGACTCACCTGCGTGTGGCTGAAGGCACGTGTGATTTCTGGCTGAGTGTGTCTCACTCCTGTACAGTGATTCACGTGGATGATTCACAAGTAGGAATGTGGGTGTTTGGTCCCCGGTTGTGGCTGAGAGATGAGGAAAGGGTCTTGGGGAGGGGGAATTCGGGAGTGGCCGGGCGGACAAGGGCCCAGGAGCATCTGTAGGGCCCCTGACCAGGAGGAGGGCCATGTCCCAATCATACAGGCGTCACCTACTCGCTGTCTCTTTCTGAGCATTTGGTCCCTCCCTTCCCAGTGAGGCTGGGACTCCTGATATCCATCTGGGTGAGCCCTGTCCTGCCAGCCAGAGAGACCGGCTGCGCCAGAGGCAAGCAAACAATTATTAGAAGACAGGTGTGGGCGGGGAGAGGGAGCCGGTACTGAGCAGAGGCCCGGGCAGAGGCCAGAGGCCGGGAGCTTCAGGACAGAGAAAACATCTCGGAGGGAGCTGGGCCTTTCCCCCTACCCCCACCCCCCCAGACCTCCCATCCAGCGGCTCAGCATCACAGCCGTCCAGTCCTGCTCGGCCTGCTGCTCACCTCCAGGCCGGCCGCTGCTGGGGCTCACCTTGTCGGGAGGCATCCCTCCTTCCCTCCCATCATGGCCGTGTACCGCGTGTGTGTGACCACTGGTGCCTACCTGGGGGCAGGCACACTGGACAACATCTCCGTCACTCTGGTGGGCATGTATGGTGAGAGCCCCAAGCAGCTGCTGGATCGCGTGGGCAGGGACTTTGCCCCTGGATCGGTGAGTACAGAGGAGAGAGGGAGGAGCACCCCTGAGGGGCAGGGCCAGCAGGGACCCTGAAGGAGGGTACCGTCTTCCTTCAGGGCTCATCACCTCCTGCAGAACTCTGGCTGCAGGCTCTGACCTCCTCCCCATCCCTGTTCTGTCTGGTTCCTGTCTTTCCTGGGGATGATAAACCCTACCCAGGCGGGGCTGTGAAGGAGTCCTGGGCAAGGGGGCAGAATTCCAATGGCTTTCCAGCTTCTCCTCTCATAACTGAAGGTGGGCTCTGGGCAAGTCGCTTGAACTCTCAGAGTCTGGGTTTCTTCTTCTCTGGAGGGCATCCACCTGCCTCTACCAGGCCCAGGATTGTTTGTTGGTGGGTCTTAGGGAGAAGTTGGCCACCAAGGGGGCTAGTGCAACCCAGAACCTACTCTGCCTGTGGTAGCTGTGGTTGCTTCTGCCTGGTGAAGGGGTGCTTTTGTTCTAATTCATACGAAATCCTCACATGGGTTAGCGGCAGCTCAGGTTTCTATGCCAGAATAGGTGTAGGTTTAGACGCAACTTGCAAGGTGCAGGACAGCTCCGACAGTTCCTTGCCTCTCACCTGCTTCCTCTGTTGGTCCCCTCAGGTGCAGAAGTACAAAGTGCGCTGCTCAGCAGAGCTGGGTGAGCTCTTGCTGCTTCGTCTACACAAGGAGCGCTATGCTTATTTCCGCAAGGACTCCTGGTACTGCAGCCACATCTGTGTCACTGCCCCCAATGGTACCCTTTTCCACTTCCCCTGCTATCAGTGGATTGAGGGCTTCTGCACTGTAGAGCTGCGACCAGGAACAGGTGGGCCAGAGGCAGGGGCTGGCCTTGTGCTGCAGAACGCACCTTTTGGGATTAGGGGTGGGGTCTCCCAGAGCCCAGGGTGCAGGGAACAGGGTTGGGGTTAGTGTCACAAGTTCAGGGCTCCAAGTAGATGCTTTCTGGGGAAGGTGAGCCTGTAGAGCCCTGAAATGCAGGGGCGTCTCGGACAGTATCAACCCCTCTGGAGACCGACAGAGACTAGACCCACACTGTGTACACTCACACCACCCAGACACACACACACACACACAGAGGCAGTTTGCTCTCCGCTGACTCCCTCTGCACGTCCCCTAAGTGAATTCCTCCAGAATCCCAAAAGGAGCTATCCTGCAAGCTGAGTAATTGCATTTCACCAGGTGGAGAAGCCCTGAGTGTTGAGCTGGAAAGGCCCTGTCCACCACTCCTGGCTTTTCCAGTGTGGCTGAAGTCCCTGTGGGCTGCTGTTAGGATTCCTTTTTGAATTTGGATGACCTTTCAAGAATGCCGCGGTCTAACTCCCTCAGCCTCTGACCCGCCACATCTCCTGAGCTGTCTGATCTAGAAAAGCATGACTAGTTTGAGATGAGTCTTAGGGATGAGAGATGCTGTTCTAGGTCAAGGTAAAATAAGTGAATATGACCCCTTGGCCCATAGTGAGTTCTTCATAGACCTCACTCTGAACCCCATCTATCATCATAGCAATCTATCCACCACGTTACAAAATATATGTGCTCATCTCATTTATCAAATGCATGCTATGTGCACCATGCCAGATGCTGGGACTAAAAATGAATACAATGTGATTTCTGCTCAGAAAGAGTTTATAGTCTTGGAAAGGAAACAAACATGCAAGCTAAAAGGAAGGTTGTTAGGATCTGGGGGCGAGGTTGTCCTGAATCTCTGGTGAATGCACAAAGAACATGGGGTGTCCACATTACTGAGGGGTTGGGTGCAAGGGTTAGGGGCTCAGGCAAGCTTTGATGGAGAAGTTGTTGTTTAAAAAAGGACTTAAACGATGAGTAATTTCATTCCCCACAGCGAGAACTATTTGTCAAGACTCCCTTCCCCTCCTTCTGGACCACAGGAAACGGGAACTCCAGGCCCGACAGGAATGCTACCGGTGAGGGTGACCTAACTTCACTTCTTTCCCCATTTTTATTCTGACTTCAGAATTAAT